CGCTTCTAATATTACAACAACTTTAAAAAATAGATAGAAATATATTAATTTGAAATAATTATTAAATATTAAATATAAAACTTTTACAAACAAAATAATAACATGGAAAAATATATTACTTCGTTTTAATGCAAAATCACTTGGAGTATAAGCGATAAATAAACCTTAAATACGAAGATTAGCATAAAATAAAAAGTATAAAGATAAGTTTACTACTCATAAATTATGTTGCACGATACATACAATTCTTACATTAATATTTTGTTCCAACTTGTATAGTAATTGACTTTATTAATTGATCATTAATAAAAAAACGATGAAAATATTTCAGTAATGTTCCCAACTATTTTTTAATAATCATCTATAATAATTTTGATATCAATTAAAAATATGAGGAATAACATTAGCATGTAATAATATCAGGAAATTATATAAAATACTAATACCTTTTTGGCAAGATATCATTACTCTTGACTTATTTACATAAATTATTTAAATTATTCTCCAACGTAACTTCTTTAAAGGAATAAATCTTCTTCAAAAGTGATGGTTTAAAAACATCGCTCAAAAAAATAATTAAATCATTCATAATAAAAAATAGCTTAATAATTAATTAATTATTTATCTTCGTTCTGTCCTCCTATAGAAAAAAATCTTTGCGTACTTCGTGAGTATTCATAATAATTATTGTAATACATTAAAAATGTATCGTGTCTATTTAATTAATTTATTTGTGCAGTTTCTTTATTACGAACTAATATTGCACTTCCGGCCGATAATGCATTCAGCATATCGTTTCGATTGCAGCAACTACAATAATTTTCGATCGCATTAACTGTAGTCAATCAAGAAAAATATATACATAAGCGTTTTCATCGTTACCTATGATAAAAATATTATCACTTTCTTCATTGAATTATCGTCATGCCTTCAAAAAATTAATAAAAATTAATAAATATAAATAAATACATAAGTGTATGCATTTGTAAAAAATTATTTTACAAAGCAATTATGAGCAATTGTTATCTCTTTCATATATATATGTTTTAAAATTAAAATCTCAAATCGATATTGAGAATCAGTCATACCTATATTAATAATAATATCGAAATATGTCTCTCGTAAAAATATTTTCGACTTCTGCGATCTATATTTTAGCTTACAAAGATATTAATATAAAAAAATATTTAGCATACGCGGAAGTCTTTCAATTGTTTCTTTAAATGAGCGAAGATAATATATCATTTACCCGCTTGATGAACTTTTAAGCGCGCACATGGCGCTTTGTGTGTTTAACTGTAATATTTATAAAACTATCATGTAAACTATCTATCTTAATAAATTTATTACTTCCTTTCTATACTGGCCTTGAAACTTTTTTGCAAACGTATAAAATTTATTCAACGATTAAAATTTTTAATTTCATTTTTCACGAATTTGTATCCTTCAAAATTTATTCATGAAAAATTAATATAATGCAATCTGTAATACAAATATATTCTGTTGTTTTTCTGTTTATTAATATAGGACTTTTGATAGTTTATCTAGTACGATGGCAAATCGTTTTTTGATTTTCACTTGTGCACTAAAAGTAGTGTTACATTGCATCTTAACATTGCCACGATACGAATCTAGTACAGAAAATACATTAAAAACAATTTCAATAAAAAGTTGTTACGATTTTTATGAGATTTGACATTACTATGTAAAAGATTTATATATAACGATATGCTCTTAACTCTAACTAATCGCCTTTTCGGTATGGCATATCCACATTTCTTTTTTCAATGCTCTTTTCATTGTTTATAATTTTTTTATTAATAAAGATAGGTTCATTTTCTTGGTATCGTTATATTCTTAGCATTTCACTATTTAGAAAGTCCGGCGCGATCGAGGATTTTCGAATTATGCGCACTATTAACAATATAGCTGAGATAGATATATCATATTTTGAGGCAAGGAATACAAAGAAATAATGAATTATAACGAATTTTATACTTAACGAAAAATTATAAGATTTAAAAAAATAGATCGCTGCCTTCTAAAAGTTAATATATTATACATCTATTTTTCCTATAATAGACATTTATATATACCAAAATAAGGTAAGAAAATTCTTAACAATTAAAATAGGTCATTATAATAAAATATATATTAAATAAATTTTTGAAATTAAACAAAAAAATTATTTATAATAAAAATTATAATTAATTAATTATTTTATCTTTGTGCCATCGTTTTTCCTATAAAAATTATCTTTGCAAATTTTGAAAGTGTTTCACAAAAGGTAAGTGTTACAAATAATTTTAAAATTATCTTTCTTACATCAACAATTTTACTCGATTAAAATATCAGCACCGAGATACTGTCTTATAGATCCTAGGACAGAGGACTTTTGAAGAGATCAAACTTCGATTGGATATTTTGACTGCTTTTACGATACCAATTTGTTGCATTGACCGTTACAAGGAGGCAATATAGTAACAAGACTCTCGGTTTCACTGTCACTACTGAAATTCGCTCTCTCCAAAACCACCGTGGTCTCACTCTTCGCATCGAATATCGGCTGGTAATATGACGAATTCTTCGCTCCAAGATCCACACCGGAATCAGCGCTCTTGGAGATTTCTGACAGTCTGCGAAAATTGCCGAAAAACACGCTGTCGGTGCCGACGCTCTCGGCACCGCTCTCGCTAGCGCCATCACACATAGATTCAGTCTCGTCAGTCTCCTCAGACACACTACTTACCTCGTGCTTCAGCAATCGTTTGTGCGAACCATTACTGTCTGTGCTACTAAGGTAGCCACTGTCCTCAACCTTCGTATGACCACGTCGATTGTCCATCAACGGCAGCATGTTTGAGTTGGAATCACAGCTCTTCGAGAGACCTTTCATCAATTGTCTTGTTTTGGAGCCGTTCTGCGCCCTGCTGTTGTTGAGAAGTTTATCCTTATCTTCCCGACGACGCTCAACGCTCCACGATCGTGTTCTTGAATTTCTTCCGGAACTTCTGTGATGAGAGGAGCCAGTGATCGATCGTTTCTCTCTCACTACCTTTGTTTCTCGCACAGAGACTTCTTCCTTGTTGGAATCGATATGTTCATAGAACCTATACCTGTTTTCAGGAACTTCGATTTCGATGCGCGTCTCGCACGGGCAGTCCCTGCAACCATTCGTCACGGTACATTCGCCTGTTCTCTCACTGAAGAACGTTGTTCCTGTTAAGAGAACGTTGTCTTCGCGATGTTTCTTATTGTGAACCTCATACTTCACGACGTCGACTTGAGTCTGCGATGAGCAGAGGCAGGTTTCGTTCCCTACATGGTATCCGTCAACTTTCGGGACAGGAGCGCCGTTACTGGTTGTAGGGTCACCCGCTCCGACAGGACTCCCGTCCCAGGCGTTTTTTGATGGAGATAATGGCGGAAGTCTCGCGTTTTCGACACGTCGCGGTGGCTTCGGTCGCTGGTAGATCTCCTCTTCCGTGGGTGGCAATGGCACCACGTCCGGCTGATTGTGTGGTTGCCGTTGTCTCTTTGCTTGTCTGCTGTCTGGCGTCAGGTACTTGCACTTTTTCCATGTGGCAGCGTCATCGGGCTCGCCATTAATTTGCAATTCAGGATCATAACCATTCGTCAATTGCGGGTCCTTCATACCCGACTTTATCCTCGCCTCGTAGATCTCCCGTAAACTGTTGGGGCTGCGTTGTAGCGTGGAATTCTCGTCACGGAAACTACCCCTGCTCTTGAGAAGGATCTGAGGCGGTCGCTCCAACGAATCCACATAAATCTCGTTGGCAATTTCCCCTCGGTTGTACTGCATGTCGTCGTTGATCCGCAGCTTCATCGGCTTTCGATCCAACGTGTCTGGCTCGTATTCAGACTCGTCAAGCTTCACGTAGTTTTCTGGAGAGTCCTGGACCTTGATGGTCAGATGACCCGGATTCTCCGGCTCGTATTGGATTTCCGGACCACTGTCGTCACTGCAGGTTGGGCTGGCATAATCATCGTTCACGTAGACTTCACTCACCAACGAGTACGTCTCTAACCGCTGGCTGCTGATCAGCTCTGGCAGACTATTGTAACAATTTCTCTCGAGAACCTGATTGCTGAGCTTCGACATCGTCATTTCGCCGGTACGCGTGTTGATCACGGCATTTTGCATCGTTAACTCCTCGTCCATTGGCAAAGCCGTGGATAAGGCCGGACTCGATTGGTTATCCGTCGATGACTGATCCGGCGACGTCGATGATTTCCGATTACACTTAGAACGTTCCAGACTGTCCACCTCGTAATCGCTGATCATCGTGGTATGATTAGAAGATCTGGTGTGATGATGATCCAACGCCTTCACGTCTACCATCTCGCGTATCACAGCGTCCATAATACGTTTTGCAGTGTTCTTTGCACCGGGTAACTCGTTAATCATATCTGGGAGTTCTTTCTTCTTCAATGATGGCACGCATGGCGCCTTCGACTTTCTCGATCGTTTCGGCGCGGGGTTGCTCTGCGATTGCTGAGATCGTGATTCCTCCGATTTGTCCGTATTGCTGGATGATCTCTCCGTTTTTGCCGACTCGTCCTCGCTCTTGCTGTTCCTATCGTCTTTCACGCTCTCTTTCGACTCGCTCTCTATGACCGCGCTCTCCTCCATCTGCTTGATAAATGAATTCTCAATAGCCTTGCGGACTTTCGCATTTATTGCATCATTACCGGCAGTGTAATGGAACGGTCTATTATTTGCCCGCTTGCCACGGCCGCAACGATCGTACTCGGATCTCTCGAACATGGACCTGGTCGATCGTCTGGATACGCTGTAGCGATCGTCGTTCTCCAGAATCTCACTCCTGGCGGTGATATTCTGGAAGGTCCTCAGCATCGGTGGATTGTCTTTCCATGATGACATCGATTTACCGACTAAATTCGCACGATCGTCCGGATCACCAAAATCGCGTCTGGCCAACTCCTTCAGGTACTCTAGATTTCTAGCAAACGTTCGGGCGTTCTCTTGGAAATTCCTACGCGTATCTTCGGCGTCTCTCCAACGACGCTGCGGTGGTCGCACGTCTTCTAACCAGGCGCGCACTTTGCTTTCACCATGGCTGGGCGAATCAGGAACAGGAAGGGCGGGAAGCAGCTGAGGAGACTCGCTGCAACCGGGACATCCGGTGCACCGTTGGGACTTGCGTGATTTGGTGACCGAGCCGCCCTGGACGGAACTTGGGGTCGTTCTCTGTTGAAGCTTGCTTGATTTTGCTGATTCGCATCGTTCGGAACTGTTCTCCTCTTCCGGAATACCTGCGTGTTAAATTTATCCTGGTAATAATGACAGAGCGAAAATAGCGAATTAATTATTTCTAATTACAGCTAGCGAGTGAAAGTCAAGTCACGCTTTTGCGCGTTATAAAATACTTCACGTGCTTTCCATTGGTTGCATGAAATTCGCTCATGCGACTATGAATACACGAAGAATTCAAGAAATCAAGTGCGTGCGAAACCGTAGGAATAAAATAAGAATAAAATTGGAAATCTTCAGTTGCAAGAACGCGAAAAATGTGGAAAGTTGAAATTGAATTGTTCTTTCACGATTTTCACTAATTTCTTTATTTCTCGCATGAAGAATCAAGAAATATGATTTAATTAATTATTAAGATGATTTAATTATTTTATTGGGAAAAAGTTTCTTTAAAAGTTGTGGTAAAAAGACTTTTTCAACAACTCATATATTTTATTTTAAAAAAATTGACAATCACTTGATATAGCAACGTTTTAGCTTTAAGAATCTGCATTTATAATTGCGACACGATGATTTTTAAGGAGTTACGAGCAATAAAGTCAGAATGTTTCTTTTTACCTAATCCGTGAGTAATTCAGGAACAAAAAATTGTAGGAACAGTTTTAAAAAATGATTTTGTAGGAGAAGCTTCAAGCTTTCATGATAGATAATCGAAAATTTTCTCGAATTTTTTTTGGGCTACAGACCTACAAAGTGAAAAAAAATGTTTTAGCTTATAGTTTTCTATATGTAAAAATTACAAAACTTACATAAATTCAAAAAATATAGTAACCATTCGACAGTGAAGATTTCAAGCTTTAAAATCCTTTTTCTTTTAATTTTGATCATTTTTGATGAAGATGAGGAAAAGAGCTTTTTATCACTTTGTAAAAAGACTTTTTCCCTAATCCAATATATTCAATATCTTTTGAATTACAAACATTACATCTTCTACACATTATTTAGAATCATCAATCAAAGCTCCTTTTGTCTTATTACTTATTTCAAATAATTTCTCTTTGAAGAACACAAACGTACTCACCATTGAGAATAGGAACAAATCTTTTTGCAGCCATCTTGTGCTTGGCAATGGAGATGACTTCTCGAATTTTGAGCAGGAACTCGATGGCAGCCGGAGGTGGGGCCTAGAAAAACGCCGGGCTGTTTTCAAATTATCTTGTCGCTGGTCAAGTGCGTAAGAACGTAGACGAATCGAACAGACGTCGAGGGTACGTCCATTAAAAGCATTCCAGACTTCGAAAACGCACGGATGACTAGCGCGAATGGAAAATAAGCAACATTTTTCTCCCTTCCCCGTCGGGTTGCCCCGTTAAGCAACTCACCAGCAATAGCTGTCGATCGAAGTATGCGGGATTGAAGTACAATTTTCTCCGTTGAGCACCTGGAAGAACCGGTACATCTTGCTGATGCGGATTTTCAGCCGTCTCCACGACCCGTACATCCTCTTCCGGTAACCTCTCACCAAGAATGGAACCAACGGGGAAAGGCCCTTCTGATTGCTCCAGATACACGCAATGCGGATGAATGATCGCCGATGTTATTTGCTGAAGAAGTGACATCGTTGATCAGTAAGCTCGATGCGAGAGAGCGGGATAATTTCATAATTTACAAAATCACAATTGAATCGGACATTACGAATTATGAACCTTACCTCCTAAATCCTTCAAATCGGTTTTACAATAGTCAATATTTGTTAACAACATTATCACTGAGATTACTTGGCACGAGACTAGATCGTACAAGAAGTCGACTTCTTCTGGCAATGATGAGACTTACGCTCGCGTTGTTTCAGTGAAGAAAAGAATTGCGCTATACGTGAAGACTGGAAACAGTTCGCAGAACGCGCTGAAATCGCGGTGCGTGGTATTCTAACAACCGGTATACAGCGTAAAAGTGGGATGTACCTCACCTACTTGGAATGGTACGGACTAACGGAGCGCAAAACCAATGCGCTAATTGGATGCATTATTAAACACAAGCGGTGATCTCGGGAAAGACATGGATTATATTCTACAAAGATCTCGCGAATCGCGCAAAGAGATAACCGAGCAATTTCGTTGCTTGCATTTGAATAATTACGTAATATCCTCGGAATTATGTAAAACTCATCTAATTACGATAGAACAAATATATCTACAATCTGCTTCTGATAAATCAAAGATTATCATATTTCTTAATCGTTCAGAAATGAAATCTACTTATGTATGATGTGCACGAGGTAACTTTCTTAGATAAAATTACTCAATTAAATTTAGAGGATAATTTGCTAGGAAATTGATTGAGAAGTAAAAGTTGCACTTACATTTTCGAAACCTTGCTCATTATCGCTCGCGGGAAGATCTTCGCCTAAATCACTCTCGGTGAGTCCACTATTAGTGTCGCTCTCGAAATGTCTCGTGGCTGTCAACAACGGATTGCTCTTCACCAATCCACCACCGTCTCGACCGCCGTCAAGAGTGATGTCTGCTTCTTCGATGGATTTTGTCTTTGCCCTTCTGCTGTGTAAATATAACGATACGCTGGCTATGTATATGAGAGCCAAGATGACAGAGGAAAGACCGATGGCGGTGTATTCCGTAGCTGATAATCCATGCGACACCTGGGTCGTCGACGAGAACATTACTTCTCGTATGCCTGTTGTAAGAGAGAAATGTACGTTTAACGAATCGTACTCTTCATGATGCTTGATACTCATTCTTTAGAACGTCCTCATTAGTAGATAAATATACTTCCACATATTTACACGTAAAATTAAATCAGTATTTTAATTAAATTTAAATTTGAATTTGAAATAAATATAGTGAATGTAATAAATAAAAAATATACTATAATATAATATAAAA